CGGTGGAGTTTGTTCTCCCTCTCCAAGCGCGGCGCCTTAGGAGACTACATCGCAGAATTCTCGCGGCTCAGTTTTTTAATCACTGACCTGGATGGCCCCTCTCGCGCAGTACTATTTGTCGGGGGCCTGGTCCCGAAGCTCAAACGTGAAGTCATGAAGGAGCATCCTACAACTCTGCAGAAGGCGACAGAAGCAGCGCTCGCCGTATCGCAAGTGATGCCCTTCATTACGGTACGACAGCAGCAGGGGAACCCGGTACGTCGTCCACTGTCGGTTCCTGGTCCCCGTTCCAATCGCGAGGAAACGGAACGACGATGCTACATATGCCACCGACCTGGTCATCTGGCACGTCTATGTGACTCGAACCCAAACGTTGGACGCCAGTAAAAAGAGGGGTGCGATTACTGGCGTTGAGAGAGCACCCAAGGTCACCGTGCCAGTCGCCAACAGGTTTAGTTGCCTGGAGACAGACGACGTGGAGACCGATGATGGCGACGACACCCTGGAGTCTCAAGGCCCACAGTGCGTGCGGAGCTACGTCAGCAACATTGCCCTGGATTCGCACGCGCGGGACCACGATCTTCTTGTTGTGAACGGAAAGGTGAACGGCCACCGAGCGACAATGTTAATCGACTGCGGGTCAACACCCGATTTTTTCTCGGAACGATTCGCAATAAAACAAAAGATGAAAACGAAGATCGTGGAGGAGGTTCTAAAGGTGGCCTTGGCGGACGGATCAACCAGTTCGCGGCCGCTAGAGACCACCGACGCTCGCTTGGCCGTAGGAGGCTATGGCGATGACCAGCGCCTGACGGTCTTTCCCCTTGATCGATATTATGATGTGATCCTGGGAAAACCCTGTCTCACCAGGAATAACCCAGCTATCAACTACCGCACCAACGAGGTCAAACTGGGTGCCGAATCCCTAATCGCGGGTGAACCCACAGGCGACGCTGCTGTTCCCTCGGAGATGATGTTCATCTCTGGCAAACAAGCCAGGCATGCGCTACGGCAAGGCGCAGAGGGTTACCCGGCTTGGCTCTCTTCCCCCGACGACAGTTCGTCCCATGAGCCTCGGAAGGAGGTACCTCCGGACAAGCAGCGTGACGTCGATGAGCTGCTGCACAGATTCTCGGACGTGTTCCCCGATGACCTCCCTTCACAGCTTACCCCAGAAAGGTCAGTGGACCACGAGATTGAGGTCGAACACAACTCAACGCCAACATCCAAAGCAGCGTACCGACTATCCAAGCCCGAGATGGATGAACTACACAAGCAGCTGACAGCCCTCCTGGGTAAAGGATTCAACGAGCCTAGTAAGTCCCCGTACGGAGCCCCGGTGTTCTTTGTTAGAAGGCCGATAGGTCATTACGAATCGTTTGTGACTGGCGGGATCTAAATAAGATCACTAATAAGACAGTTAAAAACAAAGCCTGCCTTCCGAACATTGACGATCTGTTCGACACCGTCCAAGGGGCTCGCTACTTCACGAAATTAGACCTCCGTTCGGGATACAACCAAATCAGAATTAGTGAAAAAGATGTACCCACAACGGCAATTAATACCCCCTTTGGACATTTTCAGTTTCGGGTAATGGGATTTGGTCTTACCAATGCGCCTGCCACATTCCAGGCCTTGATGAATTCAATACTGCAGCCCTATTTACGTGATTTCGTGGTCGTATTCCTTGACGATATCCTTATCTTCAGTAAAACATGGAGCGAGCATTTGAGGCATGTCAGCACTGTTTTGGAAACCTTGAGAGCCAACAAGTTATACTGCAAACCCTCAAAGTGTGAATTTGAAATGTGAATTTAAAATGTTGGCTTGAGACACCGAAGTGTATTTTGGTTCCTGCAATAGCCTGTTCTTCGCTTTTATATTTTTATTTTTATTTTTTATTGGGAACACAGCCCTACAAAGAGACATGTGGACGCAAACACAAAACAAGACACAGGGGATGTACAGTGAGCAACTTGACCGACCAGGGGTCTCGGCGTTAGCGTTGCAACCTGGCATTGAAAAAAGGGGGGGTTGCATGGTCAAGTAGCAAAAGAATAATTTGGTGCAAGAAAGAGGCGCTAGTAGTGCACCAAATAATGTGAATACGTGAAATAACTAAACCAGAAGGGAAAAAGAAAAAAAAGAAACCAATAACCATAACAAGCAAGTACTAGTAGAAAGGTAAATACTAAATGGGTCTCAATATCATCGGGACAGGTACTGTGTGGACCACAGCTATCTCTTTCGGATTAGATCATTACATCCGTTGACCTTGAAGGTTTGGAGGCGTCTTGCATGAGGTTCTTGAAGCAGGAGGTCCGCAGGCAGGTTGTTCCAGTGTGTGATGGCGGAGAAGGGGAAGGATTGCAGGAGGTAGTCAGGCGTTGTGCGAGGGTGTGTTCACTTCAGCTGGAAATCATTTTGCGTCTAACGTCTTTGACGTGTGCACATTCTAGCTACGGGAAGGGGCTTGGTTGGTGGAAGCATGGCCTTTACCTGGGGAGGCCCTGGAATGTAGTGCTGCTTGTACAAGTTTGATAGGGCTGCCACCATTGGCGAAGATGAAGACTTTGGAGGATGGCTCCAGGTCCCAGGAAATACAGGGCACGTTGCTGAACTTTGTCCAGCTGGGCGATATAAGTTGTGGCTGCGCTCGAGCAGACCAGTGGGGCATATTCAAGTAGAGGTCACACGAATCCATTGTAGATTGCCACTCGACCATCGTCGTCCAGGATGGGTGCTGCCTTTCGTAGGAAACCCAGCCTTTCGGAGGCGCGCAGTACCACACTGAGAGTGTGCGCTCTGTAGGAGAGTAGGGTCAAGCATGACTCCCAGCAGCTTCAGGGCATCTGTCTCCTGGAGTGCTTCACTTCCAAAGGTGACTGGTTGAGTGCAGGGGGCGCTACCTTGTTATTCCGAAGTTACTCCCGTTTGGATTTGCGAAATAAATCAACCAATATCATAAAATCACTAGGAACTAGATCGAAACTAGTGCCCATTTGAAACCCGGAAAATGGACATAGTTTACCGTAGAAAAACGCTCCTCGCTCTACGTTGTGAGATGCACTTTCGTACAGTAGGGGAGACAGTGCATGGGGTCAGTGCGCATAGGCAAGCAGATCTTGCAACTATGGGATGGGCGTTTGCAGCGGACTTTACGGTACGAGGTGATTCGTAAAAATTTTACATGGCATATTATTTTACAAATCGAGTAAAATATCATTGTTGAGGGCGATTGCGTTCTTCCCCTGAAGTGTTCTTGTTAGTTCGACAGACAAGTCAGTTGCCATTGTATTGTAGTTTGTAAGCATCAGCAGCGTTTGGCGGAATTGTTTTCTTCCACGGCCTTGTGAGACATCAATCATGGATCGAAATTCGTGAATTTGTGGTCAATGAGGTAAAATATCCCTCAATGGATGCTTGAAGGACGTCCAAGAGCCAGCGAGCATATTCTACGGCAGGTGGAAACCCTAGGCTGGTCACCGATGCCAGCATTGAGTCTGTCACACCATCAAAGTAGCAGGGCTGAAGAAGAGATTAGCCAAAAAGGTGAAGGTCAGAAACTGCAATTTTGACAAAAGGTGTCTTTCACTCACTTATCATGAAAGGTGATTCAAATCCAAGTCCGAAGCTGCTGATGCTTATGGCATACAGGTAAATAATTAGCCATTCAGTAGACCTACGTATGGAACTCAGCTTGCTACCTCAGAAGTGCTGGCAGAGATTCACCACGGCAAAGTGCAAATGCAGGAAATGCGGCATGGATGTATGTTGGGTGTTGACGGCGGAGCACCCATTGAGGGTGGTCTGCAGTCTTCTTCCAACACAGAAGTATATGAATCAAGTGAAGGAGTCACTGCACTTGTCTTGGAGAGTATGGAAGCCCCGACATTGTCAGTATGTGCCGGTTAAATGCACTGTGGCCCAGATGCACGAATGCACCCTGTAGTGGGACTGCTGGCGCGCATCATGGATGGTATCTTTGCTTATTATGGTTATTTCACGCATGAGGATGCACTGCAAGTTGAAAGAAATGGAGCAGCAAGATAAGGTCTGCGTGCTCATGCTCCACAATGCCGGCAGGCGCTCAAAGATACCCTATCGTTTTGAACCGCAATTGACGACGTACAGAAACCAATACGTTGGGCAACCTGCAAAACCAGTCTGCTTTCTCTGCATGTGATTTGCTTCAGATGTATCTTGATTTCCCATTGCAAGCTTATTGACACATTTAGGTCATATTTGTTGATGTTAGACCCTATTTTACTGACTTGTAAAATTTTGTACACACTTTTTCTGGGTGAAAAAATGCATGCAAAGGAACCCCACACTGTGTCTCTCATGTTTGTGGTGTTCGATCAAGAAGTCCATAGGTGGATAGAGGACATACATAGTGACAGAATGAGACCATGCACACTTCAAAACTCGCCAGGGCAACGGAATGATAGCCTTTTTTACTTTCATGTAAAATTATTACAAATCACCTCGTACAGTATCTGTTCCTGGCTTGGAGCCTCTTGGTGGCCCGTATACGCGCGTACTCAATTGCCCTTGCAAGGACTCTGCGTACGACATGTTGGTCCGCGAGTTGCGTACGACATTCCTCGCATCTGGAGCTGCTGTACCTGGGCAGTCTTTTGCCAGATGGCGAGAGACACTGCGGCGCCAGCAAGTGTGAATTTTACATTTGTGCCATACTCTTACAGTCCGGGAACCTTCTGGCAAGCTAGAAAGCACAGCCTTCTTCAGGGAAACTTTGACATACATGGTCCCCTTGTCAACTCCAAACCCCTCATGGCTAACAATCGTACGTGCACAATCTAGTTCATAACTAAAAATGGCCTTAGAGTACTGACTGTTTAAAACCTTGTTTAGTTGGTGGACTCGATCGCATAACTTGTGCCCACAATTTCCATGTTAAGTACAAACAACAGTGTTACAATTATTACATAACCATTTGATAAAGAGGAAATACTTTTTACTTTCTCAGATTTTACCTGCATCAAGTCTGGTGTTTATACACATGACAACATCAGCGGCTGGGCATGGTGTCACTTTAGGATAGCAAGTAACACCTCCGCTTCCGTCCGACACCCAAACAGAAACGGATCTTTTCAGATTGGTGGTGATATAAGCGATATAGGACTGAGAACATGTTCCAGCGATATCAGACATTGTCACCAATGTAGTTTGAACAGCAGTACACCTAGCTTCTGCAGCTGATGAAGCAGTTCCAATCCAGTTACCGTCGCTTACAAAATAACGCCCTCCGTCGTTGCAATTATAGTGAGCTAAGAAGAAGAAACCGAGGAGAGAAACATCATAGACGAAATACTGCATAAAGCTTTAAACAGCGATTGAAATCTCAAATGGTATTGTTTGCTATGATGAATTATTTTTACATGCCTCAGGAAAGCTGAGAAAAAAGGAAAAAAGGACCAGATTGGGTACATAGACGCTACATAAACAGTGCAGGTGAGGTACGGTACACTTCATTTTCGCTCCATGGACAAGACAGTAAGTTAACAAAGGGTTAAGAGAGCATGTCTGAGAAAGCCAGAGCAGCTGGGCTGGACCATCTTAACCAATTTCGCCCAACAATTGCAATAAGGTTTCCTTTGGGGTCTGCAACAACCATGCAAAAGAGCCCGTAGCACAACTTATGGGCACCTTGGAACTGGGGACCACCTCGAAATGGGTCCAAGATGCGACTGAATTTTGGGACCATAAACGAGCCCTTGTATGACGTACAAAATGGATCTAAGAACAAACCACCAACAGGCCAAAATTATCTCACCTGAATTATGTTCACATCACCACCACATAGCCCCCTGGCTAAATCCGGGGAACCAATGGCCATTTTGTCCAATTATCACCATATTTCCTTACTAAAATGGCCCAATGTCAAGGGCCATAGCGGGAACCATTTACAGCGTCCAGGTGCACTATCTCCACTATCACCTAGGACATGTCTCGAAAAACAAATGTTCCACATTCCTTGGAAATAAACAAATTGGAATATTTTCCCTTCTCTACATTGCAACTCCGCCAATTTCCAACTGGATGAAGGAAAGTGACTCCTGAATCTCCAACATCAGGCACCGTTCCAGACGCCATGCACTGCAGCACTGTCATCTCTACCGGGTCTGACAAGAAAAATGCTCTGTCAACCCTTATCACTCCAAACAACAAGCATATCCTTCCCTGAGCGACTCGAATGTCACTAGCAGTATTAAAAGCTCTGTAGAAATGCAAAAATACTGAACAATTCTCGATTTGTGTGATCGAAACACGATATTTTTGCCTCCTGAAACTGGCCATGCGACGCGTGACATAGCAGATCGACCCGATTGGATCGACTCGATCGACAAGCAAGATCATAATCAAAATCTGCACTACTTTGAATTATCATGTTGATCAGCAACTATGCTATGATGTTTGCTGGTTAAACGAACCATGAAAAGGCATGATGCACAGGATTTCACCGTATGGGACTAGCTGTCACCCGATTTACAGACAGCTCATTTGACTGTTCGATCACGTAATCGCCACAAATTTGAGATTGGCCTGCTGGGTACAGAAAAACATACATTCACGGCTATTTCGTGTATCTGTTCAGTTGGAGTGTGTTTCTTGAATTGTTTGAGGATGCCAACAGTATTTTTTTGTTGCGGGCATGAATGACATATGTTGCTTGAGCGATATAGCTCGACACAGAGAATTCAAAAGAAGAGGTTGGTGCGACTTGGGCGATACTTGCGGAATTGTGTGTTGCTCCCTAGTTGGGAGCTCGCGGTTTTCCTGCCTACCTGAATTCTCACTTGACTAGATCACAACTACCAATCTGTGCACACGAGAAGTCCATCGAACCGTCCAATTGGCAAACCTGCAAGAAAGCACCACTCCCTGCACAATACTCAGTGGTTCCGGGGATTCACCCTTCGTCAGTTGGGCTTGAGTGGGCTGAGGAAGAGCAACACTTATATTGTGCCCTCCAAGCACAACCATCACCTGGGATACAAACTCACAGAAACGCTCCGTTTCCAGCGAGACAAACACGTCGTTAACACCAGATGGCAACGTGAGACACTGTCGCTCTTGGAGGTGCTGAACAAGTCCTGAGGACCGTTGGCCATTCACAACGTTTTTGCCTCCAAACTATCTAATTCGCACGCCGGAGCTGGGGACAACAATGTGAAGAAGAGTTTGTTGCGACTTCGGCGATACTTGCCAAATTGTATTTTGCTCTCTACGTGTCAGCTCCTGAGTTTCCTGCTGACTTGGCTGACTCACGACTGCTCACGAAAAGTTCATCGAACTGTCCACTGGGCAAACCTGATAGAAACCACCACTGACTCCTCAATACACAGTGTATCGGGGAATTCACCCCTCATCAGTTGAGCTTGAGTAGGCTGAGGGAGATTGTGCCTGAAGAGCACCACGTATATAGTGCTCTTCAAGCACAAACATCACCAGGGATACAAACTTACAGATGTAGCAAGAACCCACCACCCATCGTACCCCCTGCTAGAAGGTACAGCGTGATGACACAGCCTGTTGAGGCGGGGGAGCAGTGTAGCAAGAAGGACCCATGAGTGTGCGTTGTCCCTGGTAGCCGAATCGGTAGGGCACTGTCCCGGAAAGACAGGGGTGCTGGGTTTGAATCCCGCTCCTGGATTCTCATTTTGCAACATAGAGACGCTCCGTTTCCAGCAGCGTAAGTCAGTGTCGATCATGGAGGTGCTGAACAAGCCTTGTTGCCTCCAAACGATATATCTTGCAAGCTCGCGCTGGGGACAACAATGTGAAGAAGAGGTTGTTGCGACTTTGGCGATACTGGGGGAATAGCGTCTCCATTCCCACCGGATCTATATTCCTGCAGCCAGATAATATGATGGCCTTAACACGGTTTTGGTGTTTTGAGCATAGACATCCAAGCCCTATAAATCATTTTTCATTACGAGGTGCATTTCAAAATAACTTCCTTGCTAAAGACGATGGAGTCGCGCTGAGACCAAACGCTGCTCGGTCAACCAGCCCTGCATTGTCATTCGCAGATTAAACTGTAGATCTTTTGGAGACAAATAGGTGCTCGACACCAAAGCTACAGCAAGCAGACTTACGCTAGCTCCACACCTCGCTGCATGCTGCGAACTCCGGCAACTATGGTACATGTATGCCAGAGTCGTGTTTCTGATCAGCCTTTTTCATCGAGAATTTGATTCTGATCTTGATTATCGATCAACTCGATCAAATCCGTCCACCTGCTAAGTCACGCGGTGGTGTGGTCGGTGCATGGTCAGCTTCAAGCCGCAACAACATCGTACTTCGATCACGCAAATCGAGTTTTGTTCAATGTTTTTTGCGCTTCTGCAGAGCTTTGCTGCTAGCTGCTAGAGTCGCTCCGGGAGGGAAATGCTGGTTGTTTTCAGTGACAAGGGTTTCAATTCAAATTTCTGCTCAGACCCTGTAGAAGTAACCGCACTGTGGTGTTTTGGCGTGCTGACATCCGGAGTGTTGCCTGGTGTTGGAGCTCAAGGTGTCGCCTTCCGTCAGCGGGAAGGAAATTGGCAATGGTGCAATGTGGTTAAGTGAAAATATTCAAATTTGTTCATTTCCAGTAAGCGTAGAACACTTTTTCAGCGACATGTCTTGGGGGGCAGAGGAGATAGTCCGCTGGCCTGCAGTTCATGGTTAAGAAAAATAGACGCCTGAAATGTTTCCCACTATGGTCCTCGGTAATTGGCTATTCTAGAGATGAAATTAATTTTAGTGATATCTGGGGAAGATTGCCATCGCTTTCCTGGATGTAGCCATGGCTCTATGTGGTGGTGAAGTGAAGACTAACCAGGTGATTTAATGATAACATGGTGGTGGTTTGTTCTTAGTTCCATTATGGACGCTGTACCAATCTCAAAATTGAGTTGTACTTTCGGCCCATTTCGAGGTGGTCCCGAGTTGCAACGTGTCCGTAAGTTGTGCAACGAGCGAGTTTGCATTGTTGTCGTAGACTCCAAAGAAAACCTTTTTCCAAACTTTGACCGAAATCGGAGAGATGGCACAGGCCAGCTTTTCTTGTTTTCTCAGACATGCTGTCGTTATAATCTGATCGAGAAAGATGGAGGAGGACCAGTAAAATTTACAGAGACAAGGCGAAAGAGAGAAAGAGGAAACCGAGAGATAGAGAGAGACACGGAGAGAGATAGAGAGGGAGAAAGAAAGAAAGACACAGAGAGACAAAGAGACGGGAAGAGAGAGAAGGAGGTATTCCTAAATGCATTTTCCCCAACTCATATTTAAACCTTTTTAAGTTTCTTTCGTGGCATCTCTCCCAGTTCTTGTGTGTAAGTTCTCACCTCTTTTCTGATCCATTGCCTTATGCTCTTTTATGTGCACCATTGCCTTCAGGAGCGCTGTATTTTGTCCTCGCATCCTATTTGGACATTTGACTCCAGAAATGCTTTATCTGAAATGGTCATGGAAATCTCGCATAACAACTGCACTATCATAATCCGATATCATCATTATTCACTTTTCTCGTTTTGGTAGGAAGTGGAGAATCCTCCCTCTAGTGAAAAAGCAGTACTGCCTGTGCCCTGAGCGAATTGAAATAAAAGAATACAACAACAACAACAACAACAACAATTCCCTTACCGACATATTGCTGTGCAGTCACGGACATTACTGCTGCGCTGAGGACCAATATGACTAGATACCACGATTTCATCTTCTATCCTATGCAATAGGAGTTTTCTTCCCAGAACTGCGACAAACGCACGGCACCCTGTGAACATGCACAGACACAGACATAGGTAGCGACGTTTTCATTTTAATTCGCAGAACCTAACCGGCGGTGTCGCCAATGATAGCAGGGTGTAGTACAAAGGAAAGAACACTCGGTCAGTGAATAACTTAAGAACAAAACACAGGGAATGTGGTAGACAGTACACGACTGGGACTGTGGAGTACCCCAACCAATCAAAAGGTGCTTGTAGTTTTCAGTTGTGGGTGCTACTGCTAGCAAGGCAAAACGGCAGGCGGGCATGTTTCAACTGGCGGTGGTGGGTAATTCTACACTAGTCGGATCGCAGGGAGGCAACCAGAGGACGCCACGAAACCGTAGAGCAAAGCTGGAAGCACAACGGATTTCGGGAAGTATTCTCTGAACCTTCTTGCGAGGCAACGGCGGGCTCACCACAGTTATGGCGCCGTCTCCAAGACATTCCTTCCAGCAATGGTAAGGTGTGTTTCAAATCGCCCGTGCTCGTCTTTCGTGCTGCCCTGACTTCGCATGGGGGACTACTGGTAGAGTGACTTTCTACTGAATTTGACAGTAATGTCTTGGCCGGAGGTTCGCAAGAAAAGTCTTTTGCTTGTGTTCAGGATAATAATTATTCCCTTCTGGATGTGGTAAGCAACTCGGTTGTAGACTTTATGAGAACTCGCGTTACTTCCTGACACTCAGGGTGGCTGAACTTGAGAGCAATACCATCAGCAAGCTGGACTGAGAGACGGGCTGGCAATTGTTGGCATATGCCTGGTGTAGGAACCCTGTGGGACGCCACATGAGCACGTACCACAGACAGCAGGTGATCCAGGGAGTTGCACTTGTTTGGTGCGTCTTTTGAGGGAGTTTGCAAATCAGTGGAGAGCAGTGCCGGGAAGAACCACGACGAACAGATCCCGTGGAAGAAGTTCATGATTGACTTTGCCAAAACCTTCGACATGTGCAGCAAACACTTTCATATCCACCCGTTTTGACCACAATAAAGCCTTTGTGAAATGACTGTCAGCATATTCTGTTTATCGCAATTCTAAAACCATGTCAATCTTTACCAGGAAAATTGAAATTATTATTTCCATTTTCCTTGTTTCCGTTGAACACACCAATCCAGCTTGGCAATTCTTTGCATAAGCCAAATGAACAAAAGAAAAGAGGAGCGAGTGAAGCCAATGAAGAAAACAAACACATGCAACTGCAGAATAGGAAAACATATTAATAATAATAAGACAATCCTAAAAGCACACGAAATATCAACCATTTACTTCAATGAAATGGAAAACTAATAAATGGAGCATCAATGCAATACAATAGAGAGTTTAAGAAGCACTTTATTTCCGACATGACGCGAGTGTTCCGCTCGCGTTATTTGGGTCGCGCGACGTATAACAACATGGGTGACCTGCAGGTCATGTCGAAATTTGGAGTTTTCCTTCAAATTTGACGTAAATAGCGCGTCAGGTCGGAACCTCACTCCGCCTTTTTAAGATCCGTGCCGCCCTTTATTCACTACGACATAAATAGCTCATTATCCACATGTCCTTTGCGTCTCTGTGTTTTTCACTGTTTTATTTGACATTATATTTCTTTACGGAGTTGTTTTACTGTTCATTTTGCTACTCTTTCTTTTTCCCTCCCCTTACTTTTATTTATCGCCGTGGTTGGCAACCACCCACTCTCTTAACATTGGCCGGTGTTTCCACCGAGTCTTGAGATGTTGTAATAAATATAATATATAAATAATGTGCATCTTAATTTGATTCATTCCACCCGATCTTGGTGACAGGCGACGACGTGAGACATCTCCAACAGACTTTCCAAACACAATTGTTTGAATTCTTCACAAATTCGAACTTAGAAGTTGCGACTTCGGCAGTAATAGTCATGTTGATTGTTCCAACTAGGAACACACGCTTCTTGCCGAACTTGCCACTTGACAGACTCACGACTGCCATCCGGAGCACACGAGGAGCACGTCGCACCTTCCACTCGGCAAGAAAGCACCACTCCCTGCTCAATACACAGTGTTTCAGGGAATTCACCCCTCATCAGTTGAGCTTGAGTAGGCTGAGGAAGATTGTGCCTGAAAAGCACCGCTTATATACTGCTCTCCAGGCCAAACCATCACCAGGGATACAAACGTGCAGAGACGCTTTTTTTTCCAGCGCGACAAACAACTCGTGAAGCTCCAGGTAGCAGCGTGAGTCAGAGTCGCTCGGTAGTCGTGAGTCACTCAAGTGGCAAGTTCGGCAAGAAGCGTGTGTTCCTAGTTGGAACAATCAACTTCTTCACAAATTATCGAATTATTGATTTGCGCATGCGCACTGTGTCCATGATGTCGTAATTGATATGGCATGAGTCGGCAGTGGTATTTCTAACAAGCACAGAAAATATGAACAAAATCCACAAGGATTTACCGTGAAAAGACCGATTTCTACGTTTTCCCCAAAAAGTTGCAATTGTGCGAATCAAAGATATGTTACATTCGGTCTTTGCAAGCTCATAGCAGCCATATCGATAAAGCAATCTTACTCAAATTTTTAGACATGATGTCTGGAATCTATACGAGCAATTTGACCCCGCATTGGACGAAATCAGAGCTAGTTGAAAATTTCACATAATTTTGACCCCTGAAGGTAGATCGCCACCTTAAGTTGAGGTGGCAGACTACCCAAAAGTCCGCAGAAAAATCGAATTTGTAAATTCATATTGAGTGCTTCATCAGGTGAAAAAGCATGAGTAGCTGCAAATTCTCTGAAGATTTTGTCCCGATCTGACTAGCCGTTCAAGAGTTATGACCGAAAATGTGCCTTTGCAAGGAAAGTTTTTTTGTTGCACGCTGTCATTTGCTGGCACGCGAAAGTGTGCAAAATTTTGCTCCAAGTCCAACAAATTCCGTTAAAAAACCACGTATTGGGCTGCACGGCTTTTGCCAGCACCCTCGTGATGTTGCAGATATGTGGCTTGATTATTGTAGTAGACGTTGATTTAGTGACTTTGGCAAGTTTGAGTTGTGTCAAGAAGTCAAGTAGGATTCAGTACTAGGCAGTAGTAGAACGTGAGTGGTAGTGTATCGGGACTGGAGGCAAAAAAACAGCTCGAAACTAACTTTATTAACAATTCTCTCTCTCTCTCTAGAACGGCAAAACAGCCTCTAGCAGTAAAACTCTGAACTCATCGTGACAGATAAAATAAACGCAATTTATGGAAAATAATCACAAACAGCAACGTACTGTCATGCGATCGTTGTATCGTAGAACTAACGTCGCAATGACCAATACGCTGAGCGTATACGCAAATGCTGAGCTTGTAGCGAACGTCGTATTGAACAGTACGCTGAGCGTATACGCAAATAATGAACTTGTAGTGTGACCAACGCGTGACCAACGCTACAGTAGTCTTTGCCGGTTTCTGAGGGGCTTGGCTTCTTTTGTTGACATCACAATTACTCGTGTAAGTAAAGTAAGTAAATTATCGTGTCCGTTCCCGAAGGGAACTCGTGTAGAAATCATAAATGCCAGCACCGCTGCCCAAATACTCTTCGCTCACACATAATAATTATAATATACGAAAATATTTTTGGAGTGGCTTATATTAAGAACGTGATTGTCTTGTCGCCACATATACTCCCATACTCAATCTGCGGACAGCATGCTGTTTCGTTCTTTTTGAACTCATCAGCGCAGCACAGAGGAAATGAGGCCAAACCTGATAGCAATGGAAATAAAAATTTCCAATCAGGCCCGAACGTACCTTGCCAGAGTGCTCAAACTGACAAGTCAGTGAGCTCTGCATAACGCAAACAGCAAAGGCACTACCCCACGCAAGAGTGCTCAACTGCTACAAGAGCAGGAGCGAAATACTCAATCTGCGGACAGCATGCTGTTTCGTTCTTTTTGAACTCATCAGCGCAGCACAGAGGAAATGAGGCCAAACCTGATAGCAATGGAAATAAAAATTTCCAATCAGGCCCGAACGTACCTTGCCAGAGTGCTCAAACTGACAAGTCAGTGAGCTCTGCATATATAGACAATGACATCAGCATGTCAATTGAAAGTTATTTTAGTTGGGCGCAGCTTGACGTTAACCGGATAAAATAATGATTCTTGGCGAATGTTCAGATATGCGCGCGGATTAGGGGGGGGGGGGCGAAGTCACGATGCAGAGCCGACTTTTGACCATCAGATAAATTAATTGGACCGAAGTAGCCTGAAAAATCCTCGCAACCATTCCTGGAATTGTATTGCAGCATTGTTCAGATGTCCTGGCACCTCCATTTACCACTCTAGTCAATGCATCCTTGACATCAGGTACTGTGCCAGTGTGTTTTAAAACATCACACATTATTCCACTGTTCAAGAGTGGCGATGCAACATCCTCTACTAACCTCTACTAACTATAGACGAGTGTCATTGCTCCCTATTCTGTCCCGGATTCTGGAGTTCTTTGTAAAGAAGCAACTCACAGCATACCTCACGCAACATAGCATATTACCTAGCAGTCAGTTTGCCTACAGGAAAGTGCACTCTACGGAAGATGCATTAGTTCTAGCCGCCAACCGTTGGCTGTTGGCCAAACTAGAGCGATAATACACAGGTATTGTGATGGTTGACATGTCAAAAGCGTTTGACCTTGTCCAACATCAACGTCTGATTGATAAACCATTCACACTGGGAGTCAATGGCAGAGTATTGTTATGGTTGGCTAGCTATCTGTCTGGTCGAACTCAGCGTGTCAAGGTGTGTTAGGCTCTCTCTGATGCAGTCCCATGCTCAAGAGGTGTGCCCCAAGGCAGTGTGCTTGGGCCGCTTCTCTTTGTCCTTTACACGAGTGACATTTCCGACGTTATACCTTGCATTATTGTTCATCAGGAATTCGCGGACGACATCTTCCTAGATTATTCTGATTCAGATCTGGACACTGTTTGCAAGACGTTGACTACGGCTGTGACACGTCTGTCTGACTGGCTCTCCGAAATTGGGCTTCTGCTGAATACCGGCAAA